ATTTAAATTTGATTTTGTTTTTTTGTTAACCTAAGATCAACTGAGGTCTTTCCTTTGCTCCTAGGCACCAAGACCCAGTGGGGTCTGCTCAGGCCCTCTGGAAAACCTTGTTTTCTTTGTCATTAGTGGAGCTCACTAGTGTCTGGGGTTGCCCCAGGAGTGTCTGGGGGCAAACCAGCCCAACAAACTGTTCCCAAAAAGCCCCTGTGATCACTCATGTGTGACCTCTCACTCAGTGGTCAGTGTCTGGGCAGGGCTGAGTATAGCACAATGGCAGCGTGTGTGATGGTGGGTGGGAGTTCAGGAACTGGATGTCCCTACCTGTGAACTCACCATGTGATCCCAGACAACACTCACCCATGCTGCATCTCCTTTCTCATTTGGAAGGGTGGGAGTTGAAGGGCTCATTTCTAAGACTCCTCTGCGCACACAGTGGTCTCCCTATGGATTGTGCAAGACCCCAATTTCCTTTCTTCTCATCCCACACAGGCATCTTCCTCTCCACCTCTCCGTCTTCTCCTGGAGGAAACTATCTCTCCTGCTGCTTCTCATCTCCTTTTTGGAGCAGACGTCTACACGGTTATACTTCAGAAAAAAACGTGGGTTCAGAAAAGCTGTTCTTGTGTAGGAGACATTCTCAGGGACTGGAGATTAGAAAGGGCCAATATTAGTGTCAGATGAGACCACTTCTAATATGGAATCAGGGACAGGAAGCTCTACCCCTGCTACCCCACCCTATGTACCCCAAATCCTTTCCTTACATGCTCCTCTAAATTACTTCCCTAACCTTTCTTGAGATATATGTTTCCCAACTTTAATTGTTTTAATTCATCCTGGTGGCCTCCGGATTAAGTGCCTACCTGTTAATGGGAAGGTTGGCAGTTCTAACCCACCCTCCAGGCTCTGCAGAAGTGAGGCATGGTGATCTATTCCCGTAAAGATTACAATCTAGGAAATCCTGTGAGACAGTCCTACTCTGTCACACGGGGTCGCTGTGGTCGAAAATCAACTCGATGGCGCTTTAACAACAGATAGGAGCCTGAAGTACAGTAAGGAGGCTGTTGCCGTATCTGAGGAGAGAAACAGAGGAGGATTGAGTGGTAGCAAAGAGGAGGAGAGGATAGAACTTGGAGAGAGGTCGAGGAGACAACGTTGACAGCAGCCATGCCTGATAGGCTGCTGGGGTAGAGAGAGGGAGGAGTGAAAGATGACTCTCAGGATTCTTATAAGAGAGCGGGGTGGGGCTTAGACATCAACTGATGCCGAATATCAAGATGGAGAACAGAAAATGAGAAGTGACTACTTGACCTTGTTGTTGTTGTTAAGCGCCATTGAGTTGGTTCTGACTCATAGCGACCCTGTACGGGGTTTCCGAGGAGCAGTGGGTGGGTTTGAATTGTCAACCTGTGGTTCTAACTGACCTTGCGGTCTAGTGCTTATCCTACAGCGCCACACTAGGACACTGTAGGGAGACACTAATGCAATTTTGAACATTCTGAGGCAGAATTGTTTATGTAACGACCAAGTGGTGTTTTCCCTGGGCCACTGGAGCAAAGGGCCTTGATCTGAGAAAAGAAGGCAAGTTTGGAGGAAGATGTGGGGATCGGCTGGGGTGGAGGAAATGGAGTTACCCACCCAGGAACTGTGTCTAGAGCAGTGATAAAAGAGAAATGAGGCCAGAACTCTGGGAACAGTCTCACACGCAGAGGAAATCCTGGGGGGCTGTTCCAGGGACGAGACTGGACACACAGGTAAGTAACTGAGGAGGTGTGGCCAGGGAGGAACAAGGATTCTAAAGGAGAACTCAAGCCAGCGATAGGGCAAGGAGCTACAGTGGTTGAAAACCAAACAAGTAGCTCCTGGAAGCAGAAAGGGTACAGAACTAGGTAGGGTCAACACTGATGTGGGGAGGGTGTCCTCACATTCCCTCGGTTCCCCTTCCTAGGCCATCTGTTTGCCCTTTGAAGCTGTCCCTATTAGATTTGGTTAACTCTTCCTAAGTCCAAACCCAGAACAATGACGACCCCCCTTCCCCCGCCCCCCAGCCCAAGTAGTAACCTACACCCTACTACCCAATTGATGGCTTCAGGATTACCTGGGGCACCTTTCAAAACTTGGGGACCCTGAACCTCACTTTAGGGAGCCTTGGTGACACAGTGGTTAAGCACTTGGCTGCATACAGAAAGGTCAGCCACTCTGCAAGAGAAAATTCTGCAGTCTGCTTCTGCAAGAGTTAGAACCTTGGCTCTAAACAACAACAAATGAAGTTCAAAAAATTTTTTTAAAAGATTACAGCCTAATCATATAGAGTTACTATGAATAGATGGCAATGAATTTTAGTAGGATAAACCTTACTTAGGAATTCCTGGGGGACACAAACATGTGCTACTACTAACTGAAAGATTGGTGGTTTAAACCTATCCAGGGGTGCCTTGGAAGAAAGGCCTGGCACTCTGCTTCCCAAAGGTCAAATCTTTGAAAACCCTGTGGAGGGACCCTATCCAGAGAAGGAACGACACCAGAGATGGAGACAGAGATGAGGACATGGAGAGAGGGAGCAGCTGAGGACTCTAGACTCATGGAAAGAGAAAGGCTCTATGCTGGTGGCCAGGAGGCAGGCTTGCAGAATGTGCCCTTTGGTTGTTTAAATGATTATATATTCCTGAGTGTTTTTGTGTACACCATCCCCAAACAAACAAACAAACAAAACAAAACAACAGAAAATAGAAGCAAATACTGTTGAATGATGATGCACAGTGGTGATTATAATCATTACAATGAAATGATGAGAGTAAAATCAATGTTCTCCCAGGTAAACTATCACTCAATTCATAATAAAAACTTGAGAGAAAAAAACCCAAAACTCTATGGAGTGTAGTTCTACACTGTACACATGGAGTTACCATGAGTCAGAACCAATATGATGGCAACTTTTAAAATGCTTTGGTAAGCCTCACTTTCTGGAGACTGTGATTCAGTCCATAGTCTATATATTTTTGAAAAATACACAGATGATTTTAATGTATACTCCAGGTGAGAAACCATACAGTAGTTGTAGCACCAGGCTCTCAGTGGAGGCTAGGCTATCCGTTAAGGGTAGGATGAAGCATTAGAGCTGGAATGTAGCCGGTAGCTAGTCCCTGGGGAATATCTGGATTGTCTAGAAGGAGTCATGGATTGAAAGTATCAGACTTGCCCCTAATACACTGCATTATCCTATTCTGATCTCATTTTTTAAACCTATACTATTAGGAGTTTGATGCTAATGCTAAATATGGCCCTTCCAATTATAAAGTTCTTTAATTCTAAGATTCAGTACCATCTAAAATAATCATGCCTTTCTGGTCAAATTCCACTGAAAAGAGGCTCACATTACAACCGTGGCCCACTAAGCAATGTAGCTACCAAATACTCTGTAATAAATTATCTGTGGGTCAGAAATCTGACAGGGTGTGGCCAAATTCTGTACAAGATCTCACTAGTCTGAAACTCAGCTGTCAGCTAGGGCTGCAGTTTTCATTATAATCCTCTCCCAAACTCACTGGTTGTTATTGTTGTTGTTAAATGCCATTGAGTTGGGTTTCCAAGGAGTGGTCGGTGTGTTTGAACCATTAACCTTGTTCTGTTCTTTTATCCTGTGACGCCACTTGCAGTGGTTAGCAGAATTTATTTCCTTGCCATTTTAGGGTTGATATTCCCATCCTTACTGAGTCAGCTTGGGTTGGCTGTCATTTCTGGCATGAGGGACGTGGCATGTGTCCCCCTCCATCTTCAAAGCTACCAGTGGCATGTTGGATCCTTCTTGTTCTTCAAATATGTCTTACCTCTTCTGCTTAAAAAAAAAAAAAAAAAAAAAAAATAGAACTCATTAACCTAGAGTCAATTCGGACTCATGGCAACTTCATGTGTTGCGGAAGGAGAAAGAGAAAGAAAAACCATGTTAAGATCAACGACTTAAGACTTTAATTATATCTGCAAAATCCTTTCATAATGTCACCTATATTAGTGTTCAAGTCAATAACCCAGGGTCAGAAATCTTGGGGTGATTCCTTAAAATATTACAGCACTTAAAATAGGAACGCAAAAAAGAGAGGAAGCAAAACCCATGTTTGCCTAGTCTTCTCATGTCCTGGATACCATGATAAATGCTTTATGGATATCATCCCGTTTAATTCTTATGGGCAGCCTCTAACGTAGGGATTATCTTCTCCATTTTTACAAACGAACAATTTACAACTCAGACAAAAAACACTTTCTTCTCATCATTTAACAAGTTAGTATTTGAGTCCGACTCTCAAGTCAGATCTAACCACGGTGTTTCTCCCATGTAACCACTGCTTCCCCATAACAGGTAGAAGCTATAGCATTGAACTCAGATTTGCTTTGGCTTCACAGGGAGTCAGGGTCTGAAGCCAGTCCTCTTGATCGCTGTTGTTGTTGTTATGTGCCGTGGAGTCGGTTCCGACTCATAGCGACCCTGTACAGGGTTTCCGAGGCTGTAAATCTTTACGGGAGCAGAAAACCTCATCTTTCTCCCGTAGAACAGTTGGTAGTTTCGAACTGCTGACCTTGCGGTTTGAAGCCCGATTTGTGACCACTACGCTGCCAGAGCTCCTTTCTTCCACGATATTGCCACTACTAATTTCCCTTACTGAGTAGTTACTAGAGGCAGAAGAATTAAGCATTAAAATATCAGTTTTCAAGAAAAGATGGGAACTCCTGATTTAAAGGTGAGGGTCCTTACCTAAAGCCCCTGTTCTGGAATCCAAGATGCTGCTTTTTCAGTTCTACCTGGCCACAAATTCCTAATTCAGATTCATTTAAATGTGCCAGGGATAGTGAGAGGCAGGCCCGGTTCCTAAAAGCAAGTAGACCAAGAACTGAGGATTGATGGTAAAGAACAGGAATTTGAGAATTTCACTACTCATCTTGGCCAGGAGAGAAGAGCTGGAACTCCCAAGGGATGTTAGTTTAGATGATTTTTTTTTTTTTCCTTTTAGAGAAACCAGGGACATGTCCCAAAGAGAGGTTCCAGTGTAAATCTTGGACTGCTACCTGCCTGGGGGATTTTGACTGCCCCAACTACCAGAAGTGCTGCCATTTCAACTGTAAAAAAATATGCATGGATCCATACAAAGGTAGCAGCTCCCAGGCTGAGACTAGAGGAGCCTTCTTGCTCTGTCCAAGAACTAGAACAGTTTCTTCAGTTGGCAGGACGATGGGACTAGAACTCACACTTCTCTCATCTCCTAATTTGACTCCCAACCCTCAAGTACAAACCACAAGTCATCAGCTGGATAATATGGATGCTAGTCTTTTGTCCAACATTTGAACATTCACAAATAACATTTTTTGCCTGTCCACCAGGTATTAAGAGATTATTCTTGGCACTGGAGCAAATACAAACCTGAGTTGACTGAGATACAAGAACTGATTGTTGTTTGAAATCTTAGGCCTCCAAGGAGGTTTTCTGGAAACTTAAAGTAGTGAACATATCATTTGAATATGGTTGTCATCAGGTGCTGTCAAGTCAGTTCTGACCCATAATACTCCTACGCACACAACACAAAGAAACACTGCCTGGTCCTGTGCCGTCCTCACAATTACTGTTACAGTTGAACCCATTGCTGCTGCCGCTGTGCCAATCCAGCTCATTGGGAGTCTTCCTCTTTTTCATTAATGCTCCATTTTACCAAGCATGATGTCCTTCTCCAGGAACTGATCCCTCCTGATAATAAATCCAAAATATGAGAGACAAACTGCCGCCATCTTGTTTCCTAAGGAGCATTCTGGCTGTACTTGCAAACACAGATTTGTTTGTTTTCTGGCAATCCATGAAACTTTGAATATTCTTCGTCACCACCATAACTCAAATTCATGAATGATTCACTGGACTTCCTTATTCATTGTTGAACATTCAGATGCATATGAGACTGTTGACAATATCACGGAATGGGTCTGACACACCTTAATCCTCAAACTGACATCTTTGGTCTTGAGTACTTGGTCTTGTGCAGCAGATTTGCCTAATGCAATACTTCATTTGATTTCTTCACTTCTGCTTCCATGAGTGTTGGTCAAGTGGATCCAAGCAAAATGAAGTCTTTGACAATTTCAATTCTTTTCTCCATTTATAATGATTTTATTTACAGGTTCAGTGGTGAGGAATTTTGTTTTCTTTACATTAAGATGGCTGTGGTCTTTGACCTTCATCAGTAAGTATTTAAATCCTTTTCGCTTTCAGCAAACAAGGTTGTATCATCTGCATATCTCAGAATGTTAATGAGTCTTCCTCCAATCCTGATGTCATGCTCTTCTTCATTTAATAATACTTCTCAGATTATTTGCTCAGCATACAGACTGAATAAGTATGGTGAAAGAATCCAACCCTGGCATATACTTTTCCTGTTTTTAAAACATTCAGTGTCCTGTTGCTCTATTCAAACGACTGCCTCCGGGTATATATAGAGGCTTCTAATGAGCACAACTAAGCGTTCTGGAAATATCCATTCTTCACAATGTTGTCCATAGCTTGTCCTGATCCACACAGTTGAAAGCCTTGGCATAGTCAACAAAGCACAGGTAAACATCTTTCTGGTATTCTCTGCATTCAGCCAAGATCCGTCTGCTGTCAGCAATTATATCTCTAGTTTATTATCTTCTTCTGAATCTGGCTTGGCCCTCTGTCAATGTACTATTGCAGCCATTTTTAAATCATCTTAGCAAAATTTTGCTTGTGATAGTAATGATATCTTCCGATGATTTCCTCATTCTATTCCGTCATCTCTTTGGACTGGGCACAAATACGGATCTTTTCCAATCAGTTGACCTAGTAGCTGTTTTCCAAATTTTTGGCTTAGATGAGTGAGTGCCTCCAGTGCTGCATCATTTTGTTGAAAGATTTTTATTTGGATTCCATCAATTCCCAGAACCTTATTCTTTACCAATGCCTTCAGTACACCTTGGACTTCTTCCTTCACTACCACTGACTCTTGATTATATGCTAATGATTCATTATATGAAATGATTCAGCATTGACTATTTTTGGTACAGTGACTGTGTATTCCTTCCATCTTCTTTTGAGGCAATCTACATGATTCAATATTTTGCCCAGAGAATTCTTCAATATTGCAATTCAAGGCTTGAAATTGTTAGTCAGTTCTTTCAGTTTGAGAAGTACTGAGCATGTTCTTCCCTTTTGGTTTTCTAATT